GCACCACCAAAGGCAGCAGCCCAGTATTTCCCTGGGCAAAATTCTCGTGTTGTCTCTGAGTCAGGATTCATTATCCTTTCGTCTTTCCTTGAATTTTCACTTYCATTACATAGAGAAATATAACTTTCCCACAGCTTTAGGTAACGACACCGTGATCTCAGTAAACTCGTGGCTGCAGAAGCAAAGCCTTGTTACAAACTGTTATATATTACATATCTATAGGCATGTAAGGACAGCCTTACAGAGCAAACACCCACAAACAGRCACTGGGTCATTTCACCTTTATCTGGTGTGCCACTGCAGCAATTCCACTGCTACCCTGTCCTCAGCACTTTCCACTGGCTTGCTTTCTGCATCTCTAGCCTTTCATTTGAAATACAGTCTTTTTGGCTAGAATAAAGCTCTGCATTTCACAAATGTTCAGATAACAAAAAATCCTAAAAACATCTAGTGAAAGCCAGCATCCCTACATATTTTTATATCTTCTGTGACTGTAAGTTCACACGAAAGTTTGGGTTTGAGTTTTTAGGTTTTGGTCTTTTTAGTGTCTTTAGAGCTTTCATACGGTTTCACTTCTTTGTGGATTCTCTTCTCTCACTTCAGAGGCTTCTTCCCATTCCTCGGTGCCTATTTCCACAAAAGCTGTAGGACAGAATTGTCTTTCAGTATTCTATATTCTCCCACAGCTGTAAGAAGTGTGTGAGTATTCAGAGCCATGTTAGGGCCTCTCAGAGATAAAAGCATCGTCAATAAGAGTGAAAACCCCTGCAATATTTTACACAAAAAGGAAAGCATTCCCAATGCTAATGCATGCCCACGTGACTCTATGCCACAAGTGCTTACACAGTGACCTTGTAGACTGCTTAACTGGGGAACAGAACAACATTACAGTTTCAAGGTCACCTCCCAAATAAAGCCCACATTCAGATAMGTTCACTAAGAAATTCTGACCCTACAACAGTAACTAAATTAGTGGGTGCATTACCCTAAAGAAGTGAAAAACTCACAGAAATATTGAGACTGAGAACATTTTTGTAGTTAGATACCAAGAGGAAGGAATAATATTAACACTCAGAATTCAAGCCCTTCTTCTGTTATTAACGGGCAATGTTGCAATTTTAATTCTTTACTCCTTTTGCAAACACAACAGTGATTTAAAACCTATTTATACTGATCAATATACAGAATGCAACAGGCACTTCTATAGCACCTTTCATCCAAAATCTCAGCATGCTCTACAAATAGCAATTCAACTTCATAACACAACTACCTCCTCCAATGTGCTAACAGCTCATTTTACAGCAGGTGAAGCCAAGGCAGAGGGAAGTTTAGTCATGCACCTAGGTCACATAACAAATCCATCCTCTAACTCCAAAATATCTCTTTGGATGTTTAAAGTCCACAAAACATTCATAGGGTCTGCTCAAGAAGAAAAACAAACTCCCTCAGATTCACAGTTGATTTTTAAAGTAGTTGGCTTCATGATACTATTAATATATTTTCCTTGGTAAAACATTTGTTACAAAACCGTGCTCAGTATTACTGTTCTGAATCTTTTCTGCTTTGAAAATGAGAAGGAAAAGATCTGTTTCWACACTGTAGTAGCATCAGGTCACTCTCATGGGACACAGCCCACTGCTATTAYAAAACCCGCATGAAATAACAAGGACTGCTTTAAGAGCTGCCAAAAGCCTTCTTGAACAGCTGAACAATTCGGTTTTATCAATGCTGATTTTGCTCGTATTTGCTACAAGGGTATCTCTTCCCCCATTTCTGGTACCTGGACCCACCTGCATGCACAAGCAGAAAGAAAACAGAATTAGGGATGTTCAAACATCCGACAGAGGGGCTGGCATTCACTGTTAGCACTGAGCTCCAAGGAATGGGGAAGGAATTCTCAGGCAAAACCTGCAAAGTGTTATTGATCAGGACAAACACAAACAGCAGCTCTCCCACGCTGGCACTGCCACATGAAACATGTAATCAGCCCCTYRTCAGCTGTTTGCCAGCTTTCTGCTTGACTTTGCTGATGAGCATTTACAGTTCAAATCCTGGKGTGTTCTCTTCAAGCCCAGTATCCAGAGAAYAGTTAAGAAGTTCATAAAAGGGACAGCCCAATATGTACTATATTAGTTAAAGCAACTTTAATAGAACCAAATTTATAGAGCATTTCACTTTCTGTGGGGTCTTCCACTGGAAAGAAAGAGTTGAAAAATTGATATTATAACATGGTACAAAATCAACTTCAGACCTGTCATAGGAACAGTCTTTGTGAGGCTGATTTCAGTTTTTTCACTGTTTCMACTGTGAAGGTGCTCTTTACATGCAGCAGAAATACAATTTACTCTTCTGCAGGATATCAGCCTCAGTGTGATTGGAGATCTGTGTAACATATCAAATGTCTGATGGAATTCAGAGATCCAGGACCATTGCAGWGGGAAAAGGTGTGAGTGAGAAAAAACAAACAGAAACTGAGGATGTAGCTTGAGCTTGTTGTGGCCTCAAAGAGAAAAATGACGTGAAAAGGSAGTATATGAAAATATCTGCAATTTTTTGACATTATTTACGTTGCTGCATCACTACTGYGATTTCTAGAAATAGAAGTCATTATTTACCTTGCAACAGATTAAAGATCTTGGCTACAGAAGACAAATTGCTGCAGCATAACTAAGATAAAATTAAAATTACAAACTTACAAATTTGTTCTATTCTTATGTTAGATTAGCTAAGTTTTTAATTTTTGTATGCAAATTAAACTAATTTAAATGTGAAACAGGCATATAAATGTGTCTCTATTAAAAGCTGGACATAATTAACTGTGCTGAATTTAAATTGTATAATGTAGTGTGACTTTTCATAAATAGCCAAGGTCTAAGTCATACAACATAGAAACTCGCTCCCCTAACAGCTGGCCTGCAGTGCCTTTGATGTAAAAATTTATAAAAATGAATACTTCTGTGAATATTCACAGTGCAGCCATTTTTTTCAATTCTTGATAACAGATTAATGAGATAATGGCGATGCAAATGCATTTCCACCCCATTTTTATTCAACTCGTACATAATGGTCCTGTGGCATTCACTGAATGCTACCAAATTAAAAGGACAAGCCACATGTAGAACTGGAAACAGCTCTTTCAGGAAGAAATAGGTACAACATCTTGATTATTCAGGTTACAGCTCTCTAAATGAAACAACTCGCTCCAAAATCAAAGCCGAACTTTACAGACTCTCTTTGTAACACACGACAGGTCTATCAACAACTGCAACTGCACAGCCTGGCTGAAATTAGAGCTGGCCATTATCTGCATTCTGTGATTTGTTTCAAGCACAAGACACCTGTATGCTATAGAAAAGCATTCACTCAACGACTGAAAAAGGAAACAGATGGAGATGGGTAAAACTCACAAAGCCCAATCTGACAGCACAGAAAGGAGCAATTTCAGTCCATTGAAAAGGAAACACCTCTTTAATGACAAAATTAAGGATTTAAGAGCAGAGTCCAGTTGCACAGCCATTATACAAAAAATGTCATGAGATAATAAATAGCAACTGCCTTTGGTAATATTCCTCCCTGCTGAGGGGCCAGGACAAAGGGGATGCACAAGTAAGCCTGATCTTGAAGATTAATATGGTGCTCCTGGGAATTTCCCCGCCTTGCATAAAGATCCAGTGCAGAACTAGAGACAGGGAGAAAATTCAAAGTGCAGCAAAAGCCTCCTAGGARTACTTGAGCAAGAGCAAAAGAGGGAAGCTACACAAAAAACAGTGCAGGGAGTTAAAAACCTCAGGAAGGCGAGAGGAGCTGAGCTGTACAGACAGCTCCACGTACCAGGCTTCTGCAGAGAAGCCTTACATGGCATGGCTTCAAGGGAAACGGATGGATCCAGCCAGGGCACAGCAMAAGTCAAATCCAGCCTGACACAATCATATATTCAAAGCACACCACCGCTGATTAACACTGTGCCAGTTGATCTATGTATTTGGCACTATCTTAAATGAATATCTAGATTTTTGAAGGGGGAAAATAAACATTCTTTACATAAAAGGAAAGATCTTGAAAAATGAAATTCAGTTAAGCTTCCCTTAAAGCATTGAAGYTCAGTCTCAAAATTGAAATGAGTTGCTGGACTGCTGCAGAATGCCTTTGGCTTCCCGAGCATGGTTCRTACTTTCAAGTAAGGCCAAATAAATGCCAGCAATAACAACAATCAAACTTGAGCARAAGTGTGCACTGGGAGACACTTGCCTAGGAAATCACAGAGGGCAAAATCCTGATTTGAGAACTGCAATGCAGTATTTGTTGGCAGGGCTGTTGCTGTATTTCTTAGTGGCATTGACCCCAGAAAATGATGTCAGAACCTGGAATTTAGGATTTTCATGATGTGTAAAATCACAGGGTAAATACCCAACCTTCAACAACCCAAAGTATTTTCAGCCCCATAAAGCACTAGTGAACTTACAACCATTTAGGAGAACAGATCCCATTTTCAATATTGCCCTGAGGCATTARTGAACAAAACCAGGTCCACCTCATCACCCACCACCAGACCTTACAGCTGGCTGTAATAACACCSACACGTCACTGTGCATTTAAAGGGATGTTCTCTCATTCAACAAGGCAACTCCAGATGCCACAGTATTCCCAAGGAAGCCAGTGCACTTCCCAAATGCTATGTGGGATGCTCAGCAATGAGATTCATAGGACCTCTCCCCATAACGTAAATGTCAGCACAACCTGAGTGATTTGGGACAGGGACAATCTTTTGTCAAAGGGCAACAGGAWTTTGTCTGCATGTATGAAAGCCCAACACAATGGCATCCAAACCTCTGCTCCAGAGAGAAGGTAAAGGCTGGGAGGTGGCTTGGGTTTCTCCTGCTCATGTACGTGTGACTGTTCTGGTCYGCAGATGGAACTGTGCATGACCAACTGTAAATTGTTCACCGTTTTTCTTGTGTCCAACTGATTGTATTGTCCCCTCTCCTTCTAACCCCAAACAGCCGACAAAGTCAACGATGACTTCTACAGCAAGCGCCGGCACCTGGCCGAGCTGGCGGCCAAGGGCAGCCTGCCCCTGCACCCGGTGCGCCTGGACGACGAGAGAGCCTACACCATCGACAGTGGGCTCACCCGGCAGAACGGCAAATCCCGCATGGGCAAGATCCACACGCACCCCCTGGGCTACAACTCCCACTACAAGACCTGGGATCCCAACGACCCGTCCCTGAGGCGGCAAGCGTACACGAACAAGGGCAAGCACGGCATGGGAGACCCGACGCTAAGTGACCCGCTGACCACCCGGAGCCAGCACTACTTGGGCCCACAGCCATACTTCATAACCAACAGCAAGACGGAAGTAACTGTTTGAGTTTKTTTTCTTCTTTCTCCTTTTTTTTTTTTTTTTTCTAATGAAATCCTTTAAAAAACCACATCAAATATACACACGACACAAACACTCAACCGAAAGGCAAAAAAAAAAAAAATTAAATTTAAAATATTAAATTTAAAAAAAAAAACAAACAAGGAAACAGAAGGAAGGAACTTCCACCTGGACCCTCTTGGTATCCAGCCAGCTGTAGGCCGAAGAGTGGGTTAATACCATTCAGCAATACACACTGAAGGTTGAATTATAAACTCCATTTGTATTTCACAATGGAACACAAACCCTTGTGACTAAATTTTTTTACTTGAAACTAAAATCCATGATGAGAAGTAGCACAATCTAGAGAAACTTTATGTCTGCTTRAACATTTACACTATGTTCCTGCCTTGAGACAGAGGAAGAGAGAGAGAACATTATGCTGTAATATATTATTTCAGAGAGGAATTTTGTATAAAATCTATTAATAATCACTAGACCTGTGAAAAACCGAAAGCAAACATCTTGGTACAATCCCTAACATCTATTATTGTACTTTCACACCATCCTATAGAGAACGCAAAAAATATATATAATATAAGGGACAAAGACACTTTCACAAGGAAGTTATGAAGACTGTTACGATTGAGAGTATATGGGACCTTTCTGGCTGGTAGAGAATTCGGCAGGATGATAACAACAGCAGAAGATTTCATTTTGGTTTACTTCGTTTGATTTGAAATTTTTGGGAACCTCCAAAATAAGAAGAGACATATCATATGACACAGAAAGCTGCTGGGGGAAAAAGGGCATCAGAATATTCCCTCTCAGTCCTCCTGTTTTCGGGCAGATGGTAACAATTCTCACTTTGCAGACTGTCAGGATTTTTTCTTCACCTAAATGTTTTGCCTATCTTCAACTGCTTCAGACTGAAATTAAGCGTGGGTGGTGCCTTTACTGTATTACTATTGTTCAATGACGGTCTTGTTCTTCAAAGTGACCCCTCTGTTCCTTTAAGCTATTTCCTCATGTTTTGCTAAGGATGACRAGGGTTCTGCCCTGCTCAGCCTCCTGTTTGTTCCAAAAGGAAACTGGACTACATCTCCATGCAGTGGTTGCACAGTCAAGACTATTTAGTTTTAAACCCCCTTCATTTTCCCAATTTCAACTTTTCCCCTCTAGTGTYTCATTTTGTATTTGCTTTTAGCCATGGTAGCTCTCTGTAGTTCAGCTCAATGTTATCTGGTATATCGTCTCTATCGTTTGGCTTTCTCTAGTGGCGTTCCCTCTTGGTGGGCTGTGTGGTGGAAGAGGCTGCTCCAGCCTCAARCGTCAGAGATCTGGGGTTAAACTAAACAAACAATTGGACTCATGGTCCTGACTGTGGTTCTGATGAGCAGGATGCCTTGTTTGTATGAGTAAAACCACTCTTGAACTGACCCCTGCTAGCAAACTCCCAGTCCTGGGCCTGCCAAGGCTTCGGCACATCCACAGAGATTGACAGAGTTGGGATGGGACAATGCATTCAGTCCCTCAGCAAATTCCTGCCCTTCCCCCACACAAGTCACTTGGCTAAATCCCAACTAGCTGTCCTAGTGCAGTTGTATTCTCACCAGCTGTCAATTCTTTGGGAGATTAGGTCTGGAAGAGTATTCAGGGAGGAGTGAGAACTGTTAATGTTGTAAGGAGAATTGGAAGTGGCATTTCTTACTGTACTCTACTGACTGTCAGTGCTTCTGCTTAGTCAAGGATGCAAGGGCTAAGATTTTGAAATCTGGTTCAATGGAGATACCATTTTTTTAGCTATATCAAGATTGATTTGCATCCTGAGAGCACCGGTATCTCTCCATAAGCGTGCTGCTAAATTTTATGATCCTATGTTTTAAGACTATCAGAAGTGGACAAAGCCCACAAGACAAATACTTTGCACACAACCCAGACTCTCCACTACCTTACTTTTATTCCTTTAATCTTTATTGCCTTCACAACTGGCTGACTTAATTTGACCCTTTATGGAATGTTGCTGTTAATCCATATGCTTTAGGTACACATTACAGCTGCACTCTAATTCACACAGGTTTCGTGTAACTTGAGCATATTTTATGTGGAAATATTTTAGTAACTGTATGTTCTGTAAGTAAACCCGTGTTAATACTTGTTAACTACAGAGTTTATGATACCAATAATACTTCCTACAATAAAATGTTTGTTTGTTTTTTAAGAATGTTTATTTGTAAACATATGTATTCACTATATTACTATGAATTTCTTACCTGGCAATAAAACTGATTCTAAGTGAATCCAGCTTGCAGGCTCATTCCTAAACTTGTATCACTGGGCCAATTTTAGAGTGTGAACTGAGCTTTTGGAGCATCTCACTGCAGCCAGTGGGGCTCATATCAGCACAAATGAGGGTTTGTCTCTGCCAGAACAACAGTTTCTTTGGAAAGCGCCATGTGTATTACACAGGAGCTGGATGATGTTTAGGCGCCTTCCAGGCCTAACCATTGTGTGATTCTGTGACATGTAATGCACCACAAAATACACRAGGATTGCCAACCTTGCAAAGCTTCACGTGCCCTGTAAGCCTCCAGGCACTGCACACCTTGATCAGTTAACTAATGTTCTGAGAAAAAACAAAAAAAAAGCTAAGCATGCCCAAAAGCAGAGCCTGATCTTCATGAATGCATGGGATTTTTGAAATAATCTTCAGTCTGAGGATTGCAAGTACCCAGTGAGAGCACATGAAACGCTGGTGCATATTGCCTCAAAAATTTTATACATTCATTACAGAAGATCCTGTTCAACATCTGTGTACCAAGTCTGCTGGAACAGAAAGTTCTTACAGGCTTTTAGTAGTGCTWATGGCTCGTAAACCTGACAGAACCTTGGTAGAGGGTTTGGGCACTTTCTTCTCTTTGCTTTGCTAAAATGATAGTGAATAAATTTCAGGAGAAGAAACAGGGAGCCAGGATGCCCAGCTTCAGAATTCACTTAGAGTACAGCCTGGTGCGAATTCTTTTGCAGTTTATGAGCCTTAGGAAGCCAAGACACATTATCAGAGGGAAAATATAAATTCAAAAGTGTCCAGAGCTAGCCTTTTTAAACAGTGGAAAAATCTCATTTTCAATATATACCTCTACAGGTGCCAGGAAACAGTTCATAAAAGCTTCATTTTTGGTAACATAAGCATTTCTCTGCCTCAGGTACAGCCCCAGAAACATCCACATTCCTCATGAAAGCTCAGAAGAGATATACAGAGTGTGGTCAGTGCCAGGAAAATTCTGTGACCCACAGGGAAACCTGGGGAGCCCAGTGGAATACAAACCTTACCTGCAGCAGACACAAATTGCTGTTACAGCTCCACCASCAGCCCATCCAAGCTCATGTTGTTTCTAGCAGCAAATTCCTGACTGGAATCACAGATAGCAAAGGGGATGACTGCTTTGCTGGTAGAAGTGTCTGCATAGGCTTTTGTTCTTTCAAATACATGAAATAGAAAACCTCAAAAAAAAAAAAAAAACCCCCAAAAAAACCCAAACAAAAAACAACCACCTTGAACGTGATTTTGTGTTTCCACATGTTTTTTTCTCATGACAACCTGACCCTTTTGTCATCACAAGCAAGATCTGCACTGGGCTCCCATAAGCATTTCTTTCATAAGGCTCTTTGATATTAGCACAGATGCACTGACTACAAACAGGAAAGTGCACTGCCAAGGAAGGATGATGTTCCATACACAGAAATACAGGGTTTGAAAAGCCTAAGGCTTCTGGTTTAGGGCTCTTTACCCTGGAAACATCTGTTCTCATGACTAAACCTTTAGAGCGTGATCCTCAGCGTACACAAACTGAAGATGTGATGTCTTATATAAACAGAGGATCAGGTCTCAGGAGATTTCACACTACGAGGTGTCTCCACGACTCACAACTTTAGATTTTAATAGATCTGAGAAAAGATTCATGCTTTGCTCTCTTCTTATAGAATGGTTATTGAATTTTGGGTACTAAATAAATAACCCTAGTCCACAAATCCCTTTTGCACACAATCCTGYGAACTTTATTTAATCCTGGTCTCCATGCTTGAATACATGAAGGACTTTCAGGGATAGACATAGTCTTCACTATAATTATATCAACTATCTATTTGGTGTAGATGATTTTATTTTGCTAAAAACAGTTAAGACAAAAAGCATGATTGTATTAAACTATTTAATCTCATATATCACCCACTGCTGAAAATGCGATCATAGGATAAACACATTACAAAAAAGTGAACATTGTTATTTTTATCAATAGGAAAGTAATATAGCTCCATTTTGAAACMTGTCTGTAAAAACAGTCTTGAAATTTATGCTTTAGAGATTTACAGACTCAATTTTTGCACAGCATGCAAGTAAGATGAGTCCTCATACCTGCCAACATAATCAGTAACATTAGCTTTAAACTAATGTTACTCAGGCCTTTCTAGGTGCACAAATCAAAGCTGGGACAAAATCAGRGTACTGGTTATAACCTGTACCTGCACAAAAGCTGCTGTCATACAAATACAACTTATGGATCTGGTAAACACTTGTGCAGAAGATGCACTGTGAAGAGTTTGACACTCTTTATTCAGCACTGCAGTCCCTATCAAGTTAGCAAAGCATAGGACGGATGTATTTGTCCCCAATGACAACCCTCTGTGACAGCCTGATCCTAGTTCTGGGCATTCTTCCTATGTCAGAATCTGCCAAATAAACAATCCTGAACAGGCCCTTCTCATTTTATAACCACTCTTCTAACAAAATAATGGTGTTGTTCAAGAGCAGGSCGTTCTCCCTTAAATTTCATTTTTCACCTTCAGAGCTTAGGGCCCCATTCAGGGAAGAGGAAGCTATGGATTCAGGCTAACCTGAGGCTGAGATGGGTTCAGAACCCCCATCTGTCACTGCTGCTCCCATTTCACATAACAGAAAAGAATAAGATGCTATTGGTACCTAAATGCATGGAGCAGTGCTGTACTGAGTCAGGTCACGGATGCACGAAGAGACTCTGTACCTCTCTTTCTCTGTGGGGAACTTGAAGCCAATTTTTCATTCCAAAACAATCATTTTGTGAAAGGCTTTTTTTTTTTTTTTTCTCTTTTTTTCTATTTATTTTTTTAAGTAAAGCCAGAATTCAGAGTTGGAATTCAGCTTTTGTCTGGCATTTTGTAATACTCTCACACTGTACCTTGTCTATTTAAGTCAACACTAGCTGCCTTCACTTGRCAGCTTCACCTGCATTTACATTGTAAGAGACGTTGCTGATCATTAAGAGGAGCTGATTTTGTGCTGGCAGAGTTCATCTTCTGGACCTGCACACCAAACTCGTGCGCATCCTTCAAATAAGGCTGGGAAAACCACAATATGTTCTCAAAAGTGATGATTTCAAAACAAGAGGGAATATCAGGCAGCATTGCTGCTGTTTAATCTGAGGTTGAGCCACAAACAGGAACTGAAAAACAGTAATAACCACAAGCCTTTCAGCAYTCATTTCAGCATTATTTGGTAAGGAAATAAATCCTCCCCATCAGCAGGTGTGCCAGTGGAGCCACTGACATGCCCTGAGCAGAAGAATGTTCTTGGTTTTTTTTACTGCATGCAGCTGTTGGCCTCAAGTTTGCTCTCTGGGATTTGGGCTCACACCAACATTTTCATCACAGTGGTTATTATTTGAGATACTTTGGCCAATTTTAATGAATACATTTCTTGAAGTAATTGATCTCCAGAGGAAAGAGCACTTTACCTGCTRCTTATTATTTCTTTAAGCAACAGAAACATTGCAAACATTTGGATGGAGAGTTGAAACTAGGTGATCCTTAAGGGCCCTTCCAACCCAAACTGTTCTGATTCTGTGATTAACTGTGCTTTTTTCTCTGCCACAGGTGAAGAGAAGCAAGGCTTTGCTTTGTGCCTACAGGGGTAAGGAGAGAGCTCAAGGATGGCTGCTTTTCTTCCTCTTTTCAAGGCAGTGTTACAATCCAGCAGGAGTTTTTCATAACATCCCGCAGGAGGCTGTGCTGGCTGCTGAGCTCAGAGGCAGCCTGTTGACTCCCTCATACACTAGGAGTAAAAAAATCATGCAGTTGAAAGACATAAAGGTAGACTGAACCACYGTGGCATCAGTACTGGCTTTGCATTGGCGGCTATTTCCCACCACCCCTTTGAAGCAATCAGGAGAACTGTGTGGTATTTTCTGATGMCCTGATGCTCTCCAGTGAGCTCCTGCAGCCTTCTTGAGCACCCCCTCACACACTGCACCTCACAGGGCCCTCACCTTGCCTGCCAAGGGGCAGTCTCAGGGAACAAACCTGCTTTGTGCACACCTGTATGCACAGACACATTTTACATYGGTCACTTGAGCTTTGGAGCTTGACTGCATAAAGCATTTGTGTTCACAACACTATTGAAGGGTAACACTGATTTGGAAAATCCACCTAAATGCCTGACTGCATTTTAGGGGCCTTATTTCAGTTTTGAAGATGAGATCT